ATCCGTTAATTGGAATCATTTCTTATCAATAATATTGTATTTATAGTATAAAAATAATAAACGTATCGCTCGTTCCGTTAGTTTTTTAATTCACTAAATGCTTGTTTAACTCCTTCGGTATACATATAGTTCGCGCGAACGACTTCTTCTGGACCTCGAGTGGTGAGTGTTTCGGTCGTCTCTATTGTAGGGAGACTTCGATCGTCGCCTCGATTTCCTGCTGTTATGACTTGAATACGAGTGATGTTTAGTGTTTGAGTGGTTGTGATTGTGATGCCTATTGGTGTGCGTCGGAGGCGGCGATCGGCTCCGACTCCTGGTGTATGTAATCCTCTTGTGTTTGTGATGACGACTATCCCTATCGCGAGATCGGGAACGCGAGCGAGAATAGTCGTAAGCGTATGACTTGGGCGGTGTCCTAATCCTCTCGTTCTTATCCCTATCGAAATTGTCTCGATTTATAGGACTAACGGTTCGCGATTTGCTTCCACTTCGGCCTTCATTACGCATTTCGCCATCATTTGTACGCTTCTTATTAGGGCTCGTCGTATGGCTTATGACAGATGTAATGGATTTGAGTTTGCTTTTGGGCGAACTGTTGTCCACTTTTGGTTTCACTAATGGAGAGTCAGTACGAGAGCCGGGACTCACTTCCATGATAATCAATGGTAATGTCAATAATATATTGGATCAACTGTTTTGACAGAGGAGGACAACTAGCGAACGATCTGAATGTGTATCTCATGAGTGGATACTATGGATAATAAGAGAGTGTTTGCAATGAGTGTCCAAATCGTAAGATAAATATACAGAAAGTATTGGTTTTTGAGATTCAATAGTCATTTGACGAGAAATGTTCACAACGTTTAGCCTTCAAAATGCAAAACAAAGACAACAAAAACTTATGAATCAATTGGAGGCACAAAACAGAGCCCTAAAGACTAAACCCTAACGCAAACAAAAACATACATTTCATGTGTAAAAAGCAATAAACAAAATCTCAAACCAAAAGCATTTGATTAAACGGTAAATAAATTGCTTAAAAAGTTTGCACTCGTTTTGAAAGGAAAGGCAAAAAATAGTGAAATAAAAGTTTGAAAGCATTGGAAGTAATGATTGGAAGCGATGTCTGTATTGAGTCCCCCATTGTTATAGTGATTGCCCTACACTTCAACCCCCAAAACAGTGTCACTGCAAGTGGCGGTCGACGGCTCCGTACGGCCGGCCGACCACTCGTGACACCTGTGCTAACGCTTACCCGGGAATGCAGTCGTGGCCGGGAAGACAAAGGCCGGCGTACAGACCACTTGTTCGGCCGGTTGTCCACCGCTTTGAACGCCAGACCCTCCACCTGAAGCCATGTTTGCTCTTTGTTGAGCCCCTGTTAGGTGTGCCACACATGCGCTCATAGCAGCACCCCTTACACCACCACCACTCGCATCGCCCAACACTGGCCACAGGTGGTCATCACCGCTGCCACACCCTCTCGGCCGCAGTCACCACAGGATTGTATGGTCCGTATCGGTGGTCAAACTCGGAGTTGTGAAGCGCGGTATCCCTCGTAAACCCATTGAGCCATAACCCGTGCGAACCATTGCCGGTGTTGTACTGTATGTTATATATTGCTCGCAAACATACCCTCACATGAGGTTTACATGCATTGCATTTAAAGCCGAGTTGTTTTTTCTCTCATCAAAACACAACACTTCCCAACACTTATGTGATCAACATTTTTAGTTTCAATTGTTTGTTGGTTTGGTTTTATTTGCCAACAAATCGCGGACTCAAAGCTTTAAACTGATAGCAATTCAATAGTTTTGTTTGCAATTTAAAAGTACAACTTTTTTGCGGTTCAAAAATGGGTAAAAACTCGTCACAAGATCTGCCCGTTTGGAGGAAAATGTTGACAATCGGATCCAAATGGGAGGACAAGGTTTAGATGCCATAGAAATTATCATTTATTTATTCATTCATTTACTCATTTTAGGATCAATTCTTAGATGTAATCTATTGGGGTCGACAGTTGTTGGCCATAATTATGGGTATTATTTGGGGTTATCTAGGTAATATTGACTATAACCATGTTATTCCACAATAATGCTCACATTTGTTTTACTATTTATCTCTTAAGGATTGACCGGAATTCTAGGCTTAAGCACTTTTGTGATCTTCAATTCAATAGCTGTTTATATCTATTCAAGTAATTGTCTTATTTGTGGCCAATATTTATTAATATCTATTTTAAAATACATAACCAAAGCATTGATCAGATATTTACTGTTAATATGATTTTTGGCAAAAGTTTATTAATTGTTTGATTTTCGCAAACATTTTCAGTTAATTTCAACGCCGAAAACGACGACGTGATGACTGACGTGAAGGAAGGCTTTATGACATCGTTTGCATCATTTCTGGTATAATTAGCACAACATTTGAATCGTGTATTTATTAATGAAATTGTTTTATCATTTATACGAAGGTTTCGTGGATTTTAATCTATTCTGCGCTATATTTTTAGTAACGTTTTCTATTCAAAGGATTAGTTTTCTAAAGTGTTGTCAATTATTTTCATCGCTTTTTCCATAATAAGAGATTTATATAACATTTATTTTTCAATTTTTTAGACCATAATCTGTTTGTATTGTTAATTGTTTGAAATAAAGTATTTCTAATTGAACTCCAATTGTCTTTAAACTCAATTATTGATGAGAGAGAGAGAGAGAGAGAGAGNTAATACTTACAGTGAATGCATTTTTAAGACATGAATTACTATTGTGTTTAGCCATACGGGTATTACACTATAATATTCTGTATATTTGGGAAAATTGCGAAAACAAATGTTAATCCTATTTAGAGAGAGAGAGAGAGAGAGAGAGAGAGAGAGAGAGAGATTGAAGCGCCTATAATGTTGAGCACATGACTCAATGCAATCTAGAATAAGGTTTGAATTGTGAATCAATTAATTATTGAATTAAACTTTAATTAAACTTATTATAACATAATGTTTAAAATGCATATCCAATAGAAATGTGAGCAATGATTGGCTGACATCTCGCTTATGAAGCGATAGTGAAATCTATGGGCAAAAGCCATAACCAAAGCATTGAATGCATGGAAAGTGTGTATAATTGTAGCCAAAAACGCAATTCACAGTCAATTCAACGATCGTTTCATTCAATTCATTGGCACTAAAAATGGCGACAAATGTTGTGAACAAGGATTCAATGGATTCAATGATTTCTACAATTAATACAAATTCAGTTCACAATAACTCAGTTAACATTCATTCAAATAATATTAATAATAATAACAATAATAACAGCAATAATGAGAAAACTTCGGCCAAATTCAAAAACGTTGTCATATCTCTGGAGAACTGTATTCTTCCGCCACAACAGCTATCGATGACACCATCGATGGCCGACGGACTCGACGAACACCACGAGATGGACCTCAGGATACTTGGCTGCGAACTGATCCAGACGTCGGGCATTCTTCTCCGGTTACCGCAGGTATGTCTCAAACGTGAATAATGTGTTGATTAGTGTATTAATACACGATTGGGTCCATTGTGTGATCAGATGGCGATGGCGACCGGACAGGTGCTGTTCCAACGCTACTACTATTGCAAATCATTGGTTCGCTTCCCGATGTCGATAACAGCCATGGCTTGCGTCACATTGGCCTCGAAGGTAGAGGAGGCGCCCCGAAGAGTGCGCGACGTTATCAATGTGTTTCATCACATGAAACAAATGCGCGAACAAATGTATGTAACACTTAACGATTATAATTGACGACTGTAATTTAGTTATCAATTATTTGCTTAATTTAGACATTTTTAGCATTCATTATATTTATGCAAACCATTCACTCAATGAATGTTTTGTATAAAATGAGTGCTTATAGTAACACAACTGTCAGTAACTACTCTTTATGAACGTGTATTTCTAATCGTTTAAAGAGATTTAATGTTAGTTAACATGTATTTTATATTTCTAGTGAACCGAAGTCTTTAGTTTTGGACGAGAACTACATTTCGACCAAAAATCAAGTGATTAAAGCAGAGCGAAGACTACTCAAGGAATTGGGTTTCTGTGTTCACGTCAAACATCCGCACAAAGTATTGATTTGTTTATAAATTTACTTAATTTTGACGATACTATTAATGATGTATTGATTTCTAGTTTATAGTAACTCTTCTACAAGTGTTAGACAACGAGAAGAATGAGCAGCTGATGCAGACTTCGTGGTAAGGCTTCACTTCTATTTAATTCTAACACTTATCTAAAAATTTTGTTTTGAATGCATTTTAAAACTAATATTATTAATGAATTTGATTTAATTTAAACCACAATTCTCTCGCTTAGAGTTTATAATATTTCAGAATTACTTTCAAATATTATTGATAGCATTAATACGAACACTAATATTCATCCAATTCTTTAACTATTAATCGAGTGATTGATTGGTAAAGCAAATTGAATTGAAACTAATAATTAGCGATATATTATGAAAATGGTATTAAGAATTGGATTGAATAACGAGATTGTGTTATCAGTAATGTTCCGTATAATTGCCAAATTTGATTGAGTTATTAATTGTATTTTAATTTATTGCCTAACAGTAAATTAGGTGATGATTAGGTAAGTAATCCTACTATCGATTCCTGACACTCATGCCTGGAATCAGCAAAAATGCCAACTTCTTAGCCTCGACTCACGAGTGAGACAGTAAGCCCTGCAAACACAACACTGCCCTTATCTTAAGGGTAGTGACCATTTAACACACGGACTCCACTCTTGTCGCAACCAATATCTCATTTCTCAATGATTGATGTTTTAAACAAATTGATTGATCCCATCGTCTGATGAGGTTATTGTGAGTTAATATACGCCACGAAAGGTAACGAAATAACCTTTGGTTTCGATGCTTTTGTTTTGTTCGCAACATTCAAATGACTTTTTAGAAGATTTTATAAGTCTTACAGTTATTGGACGAATAAAAAGCTTTGAGTTTACCGATTGTGTGACTTTTGATTACTCAACACAACACAAGAGACACTTTATCGCCAACTGAACGGTGATTTGAAATGTGATAATCATGTTATTAACTATCGTTTTAGATCTGACCATCAGATCGTCCGATTGCCAACTCATGTCATTCCTCACCAGTGATGATGACATTTGGCACTAAAATCTATTTGGATCTATATTTTGCGGTTCTTTGGATATTAAAAAAGTGTTACAAAAACAATCAACAAAAATGTGTTTTGTTTTAAATTTAAAGCAAAAAAAGTGAACAATAATTTGCTATTAAATGAAGTGATTTGCCTGTTATTTGACTCTTAAGTTTGCAGGGCTTTCTAATCCTCATGTGTTTGGCTGAGCCTTTCCTGAGACCAATCGTCCATTGCATTCATGGATACGTCCCTTAAGAACTCAATTACTAAATCTTATTCATTAATATTAATTGCGGTTTTAATGGCATTCAGTCGTTCCAAGTGTCGGTAATTTTATGTTAACTTATGTTTTGATGTTATGTTTTTCAGGAATTACATGAATGATAGCCTGAGAACCAATGTATTCGTGCGCTACTCTCCGGAGACCATTGCCTGCGCCTGTATTTATTTAAGTGCCAGAATTTTGAAGGTATGTCTCACTTACTGTTTGTTTTATTTGCATAAATGTTAAAATGTATTGATTTGATTGATCTAAAGGTTCCGCTGCCAAAGAATCCCAATTGGTTTGAAGTGTTCGACGTGTCTGAACACCAAATACAAGATGTTTGCCAAACAATACTGAAACTATACGTTAGACCCAAACCTAATCAACAACTTTTGGAGTCAGTTATCGATAATTTGCGTAAAACACACGAAAACGCGAAACTGAAGGCCAAAGAGTTGAACGTAACCGCAAACGGAACGCCCACTTCCAATGGCATGGAAGTGAGTCCCGGCTCTCGTACTGACTCTCCATTAGTGAAACCAAAAGTGGACAACAGTTCGCCCAAAAGCAAACTCAAATCCATTACATCTGTCATAAGCCATACGACGAGCCCTAATAAGAA